CACACACACACACACACACACACACACACACACACACACACACACACACACTCTCCACACATATGTATCCTCCTCACACAGAAAAGAATATTTTTACTAGTATAAAATTTTATCAGTTGTTACATTTGCAAAAACCACACATTCTACATCAGCTTTATTGTATAACAACTATAAGAAAATTAGTATATAAATCAGAAAACATAAAAAATACTTTCATATAGAAGATGCAACCTAATTTTAAAGACAGCGTAATATATGAATGTCTACTCAAAAAAGGAAACTTTAAGAAGTTACCAATATGAGCATGTCTGTGGTGGCACACACCATTAATTCCAGTACTCAGAAGGCAGAGCAGGCATATCTCTGAGTTTGAGGCCAGCCTGGTCAACAGAGTGAGTTACAGGACAGCCAGAATTGTTACAACAGAGAAACTCTGTCTTGAAAAGCAAAGACAAAAAGAGGTTACCAATCTGGATAGCTACTTCAGCAAATTTCACATACAGGTGATTTAAACTAGTCAAATCTCAACCCTAACTGAATCATTATTTTCCAATCCTTCAAGGTACATTTCAAAATGTTGACGACTTTTCAGTGTGAACATTCTGAGCATTTCTTACATCAGAAGCACTTTCTACTTATTAGCCATTATAGTTTGTTTGTTTTTTCCCTTCTGAAGTATTTCTGGCATCAGTTTTTAATGAGTATTAGTGACCTCTTTTAACTTATGCTCATAGAAAAATCAATTTAATATGATTTTCACCCCGTCCTTTTCACAAGAAATTGATTTCTTAAACTTGTATCATAAAAATTAGTGTCAAGGACTGTCAGGATTACTTTATCTTACTTGGTGGTATTTTAGTTTGTTTTTCCAGAGTTGGGATTGCAGGTATTCATTTTTTCCTATGTAATATAATAAGTAAAGAAGCCCACGCACTAACCCAGAGTCCCATGATAGATTACTTAATGAGATTTGTATGATGGGGCTGGCAAGATGGCTCAACAGGTGTAGACGCTTGCTGCCAGCATTAGTTTGCTCCTTAGAGCCCACAGTATGGAAAGAAAGAACCAGCTCCCATAGATTGGCTTCTGACTTCTACATGCTTCCTGTGGCACATATGTGCCCCATCCAAACACAAGAGATTAGTGGGATGTTAGAAAGGAAGAAAGAGAAGGAAGATGGTCTGATAGACTTTACTGGGATATAATTCTAAACTCAAAAAGCAACTTTGATATTAAAATACTGGCAGCTATCCTGGGTAAGATAAAGGAAAATGTTTATATATACATTATTGATGGTTTTATATAGAAAAGAAAGAAGTCCTTTATTACAATGTGGATTCACCAGATTGACAGATAGATACACTACATATAATTTCCTATTAAGACAGGCTAACTCAGTGTAAGTGTCCTCATGTTATATACTCCTCAGAGGTTATATTTCAAAACATAGAGTTTCATAAGTAACGTTGAATGTGATACTTTTTAAATGTCATAACTTTTTTATAGGTGGACAGAATTACCAAAACCTGAGATGTTCATCAAAACTTTCCATCATTTAAACTTTTTCATAGAAATCAAAGAAGGTCTTTTTGGAGTTCGAATATCACATATTACAAGCTTTGTATGATATATTCTGTACTTAAAGTTAAATTCGCCATTTATTAGAAAAAAAGTGGAGAAAATTCAGAGTCTAAAATCCTTCTAGATTGTATGAAACTGTGCAGTTTCTTCACATAGAGGGTTTAAGGAAACCCTTGATCATCTGCCATGGAGCAGGCCGCTAACAGGTGTGGCAAAGACAGTTTATAGAGTTGTAATAAATAGATTAAGATCTATTCCATAAAATAAGAGCTTCTCATAACTTCAGTTTAAATATATATCAGAAAAGCTAAAAGGGGGGTGTTTTGTTTTGTTTTCCGGCTTTCTTAATTTTGCCAAAGAAAATTGTCTCCAGGATATTGGTACTTGGGTAGCATTTATTCTCAGGAGAGATTGCACTGTTTACAATTGTAAATGCTCACTGTAAGTGCTACCGATAATTGCTTCAGCATGAAATACTTGTTCTTGAGTTGCCCCACTCCCCGCCTTCCCGGACCTTACAGTTTCATTGAGTCCCAGAGCTATTCTCGTCCCAGGTTTGGTGATGGGCTAAGCATGTTGATGGTTCTTTACTTGCTGGAAGATGCTCTTGAGTTTGCTGTAAAGCTGGTTTGGGTCTCTGGATTCTTTCCTTTTCTGTTTTCTACTTGATTTCCAGCTTCTCTTGATAAATCCAGAAATACCTTTTATGGGAATCAATTGAACTCTGTCTTTAAAATAAGAAAGGGCAGACTTTTAAAAACTGGGACTGTATTTTTCTATCAGCTTTTTAAAGATCTGCTTCCTTTTTTTGTTTTGGAGACAGGTTCTCAGTGTATTGGTCAGGGTGGCCTCACATTTACTGAGATCTATCAGTCTTTACCTACCGGGTGTTGGGATTAAAGGCATATACCACCATCACCCACTCTTGGTCTAATTACCTGGTTTTTAGTGATAGCAGAAATTTTGGTGAACAAATGTGGATTCAACTCATCCATTAAAATGGCTTTTTTGTAACCCTTCATGTAGCTAACCTACTTGGTTTGAAATATTTGGATTTCTTTGAAGAAAGCTTCTTCTGGCTTCTCATTGCATTTTCACGTGCACCTGTGGAGAGTTCGGAATGCCATGCGTCACGTGATGTTCTATCAACTTTCTTGTCAAGTGTGTTCTATAGCCCCTCAGTTACATATCTGACATCATCGCACTGGGAATCCTTGGGCTGAGAACATTCACAAACAGATACCACTAGTAACATGCCTATCTGTAACTGAAGGTTTTGTGTTTCACATGAAAGATAAGCCATGTATTGTAGCCCAAATTCTAATTTGTCTTAATAATAAGAACCTGGAGTCAGATATCGAGATAAATGCTGAAAGATTAGAGAAGTAGAGGAGCCAGCCACTAGAAAGACTTCTTTCCTCTATGAAATTCTCAGACCTAAGGGGCTGAGCACCTGTCTCTACCCACCTTATAGTCTTCTCTCTGCCCAGCCATATCACTTCCTGTCTATCTGTACAGACTCCAGACCTCTATGGTTAACTAGTAGCCAGCTCCACCCTCTGATGTTCAGGCAAGCTTTATTTGTTAGCACACAAACAAAATATCACCACACTGTATTCTTTGAGCATTCAAGTCAACTGGTGGGAGACCATTTCTTACATGCTTACCAGCTACAGTCTGATCTTGTTTAGTTTCATAGTCTGGAACTGCCGATCATGTGACATTCATTTTTGTATATGTGCTCTCCTATGCTTGTTGCTTTATCCTATCTGAATGTAACAGCAAACAACAAAGCTCTCCGGGGGCGGAGAGGTGTTGAGTGTATGAGAGGGCTTGCTTCTTAAGAAAAAGGACCTGCGTGCAGATGCCAGCACCCAGCTGTCTAGAGCCAGGCTTTGTTACATGTGTGCTTGTAACCCTATCATAGGAAGGGGGTGGGGGACCGGTCAGAGAGAAGAAGCTTGATAAGGCTTGTTGGCTACCTGCCTGTAAATTCAGGAAGAGACCCTTTCTTGCTTTTTCTAGCTAGATGTTGCATCATAATTGTGAAGACCAAACAAAACAACGTTCTTCCGTGTACCTTTTTGTACCAAAGCAGACTAACACAGACTATGGACCATTGCAATAACAAGGCAGCTTGTGTTATTATCTTTGTATCTAGAAATACCATCATCAAGAGATCTCAGTCTTTGCTTCCAGGTACCAGTAATTGATAAGGTTTAATAAGATCATTGCCAACTCAATTACTATTTACCTTTTTTTGATAGTAAATGTCTAAATTTGTACTATGCAAAGTTATCTTCAATACTAGTTTTCTAATTATATTACTTTATTACTTAAAATTATTTTTAAATTTAAATATATGTTGATCATAAACTTCCCCTCTCCCAAGTCCTTCCAGATCTTCTCCCCTTCCTGACCCACCTAACTTTTTCTTTCTCAGAAAACAAACAAAACCCTAATATAACAAAACCTGTCCTCAAAAAACCAAACAACAACAAAAACAAAACAAGAACTCAATGTAAAACCATACCCAAAAAGAAAATAACAAAACCCACCAAATTGTATCCAAATAAAAGCACACAAAAAAACTGTGGAGTCCATCATACATTTGTCAACTACTCCTGAACATGAGGCCTGCCCTGGAATGGTTCATATACCCAATGTCACTCTATTGAGGAAAGCTGATTTTCCCTTTCCCAGGAGGTATGGACAGGTCAGTTGTTAACCTTTACCCTAGTGGTTAGGTTTTCAGTCATCATTTTTTAAAAAAAATATATAGCAAAATTAAAATATAATAAGATAAAATAACTTTACTTCAGAGTTAGCTAAGACAACAGAAGGAAAGGTGCCTAAAAGAAGGCAAAAAATATCAGAGACCCACTTGTTCACACACACAGGAATCCCATAAAAACATTAAACTGGAAGCCATAATATATACACAGATTGCCTGGTGTAGACCCATGCAGACTCTGTGCATGCAGCCTGTTTGTGTGA